GTTCTGCTGAGTACAAGGCATTCAAGTCTATCATGGCTAAGAAGGTGCTTACTGTCGTTTGATGTCTTTTTCGCTATTAAAATAGTGATATTACATCGAACTCCCTTGTTATCCAGTTGTAATCGGCGTTTACAAATATTTTACTTTTAGTATCCCTTTGAGTTGGATGGGTTCCAACAGGCGGCAGTTGTTTGCATGGAAAAAGGCGAATCGGTTTTTGTTGCTGCTCATACGTCCGCTGGAAAAACAGTTGTGGCCGAATATGCGGTGGCTCTCTGTGAGCATCATAAAACTCGGTTTGTGCTAGTCTTATGGATTTGTAAACTTATCTTCTGGGTTGAATTTGGTACAATTATGACAGCTAAACTGATCTGGAAAAAATCCATAATTTTTTGTTTGGAAAGAAATTGGGATTTCGAATTCCTCAATTTGATTAAATCGTATTCTCAGTTGATTTCGATAATTGGTTTACCAAGAAAATTTTATTTCAGGGCTATTTATACCTCTCCGATAAAGGCTTTATCAAATCAGAAATTTCGAGATTTCAAGATGATGTTCACAGATGTTGGTCTCGTTACGGGTGATATTCAACTGTTTCCTGATGCTTTCTGCCTTATAATGACCACAGAGATCTTGAGGTTAATACTCTGGAAATCTGATTTATAAACTATAGACACTATAGTTGGAATGTCAGGCGAAAATCGGAAGTAGTGGGGGCCGGTAGACCGCCAAAAACAAGTTGAAGGGAAACAGAATTCAGACAGGGCCAAAGTTTTGTCCACAACTCGTCAACCATGTGGGAACAAATAGAATTTTCCCAAAAGCCGAGTCTTGGAATCCGTTTTGATTGGTAGGTGGTTAAAGGGTGTGGGAGAAGCCGGTGAAGATTCTTCATTTCGCTTTCGTCAGTTCCACGTTGAAGTGAACCAAGGGACGCCTGAGGAGTGCCTTTTGTAGCTGAATCGATGTCTAAAACTTCATATCTATAGATCGATGCTTTATAATGGATCCGAGGTGGTCCGAGATTTGGAGTGGGTAGTGTTCGATGAAGTTCACTATATCAACAACGCCGAAAGAGGGCATGTTTGGGAAGAGGTATGTGAAATGTTCTGTTCCATCGATGTCGCAGAGGAACAGTCTGATACTACCAAGGTTCAGGTACTCATAATGCTTCCCTCTCATGTGAAAATCGTGATGTTGTCAGCCACGGTGCCAAACTGCATTGAGTTCGCTGACTGGGTTGGGTATGTTACTTTGAACGTCGGATGTAGTAGGATTATTTCAGAAATTAGTTCATTGCTACTTGTTTTACAGACGTATAAAAAACCGCAAAATTAATGTGGTATCAACATTGAAACGTCCGGTACCCCTGGAACATTACCTCTATACAGGACAGGATGGTAAAACGAAGAAAGATCTGTTCAAAATTGTTGACATGAACGGTAACTGGCAAGAAATCGGATATAGAAAGGCGGCGGAAACTAAGGTAGCTTTTGCTGCTTTGGAATTTGATTTT